CACTTGGCCGAAATGAGGGCAGGGTCCAGTCTCCAAAATGGCGTTTTAAATGAAAGCAGGACAATGGATATTGTTCAAAAATTCAATAAATAAATTGCTGCAAGGCTTATTGAAACGTGTATGATGTACTGCAGAATTGTTTGTGGCTTACTTTGGGGTGCTGGATCTACTTTGCTATTGTTCCGTTTTCAAGGGGTAGAATAATGTCTCTCTGATACTAAAAACATTAAAAAGCTTTAATTTCCTTGTCACAGTCTGCCGTTCGATTCCGGAGCTGAAGATTTTCAGGACTGTTTGACATCACTAGTGTGTCTAAACTGTACGGCTTTGGAGACTATAACGTAACTAGTCGTAAACATATCTGCCAAAGGGTAAAAAAACAGCTCAGAAGGGGACTTTTTTTTTATTAAGAGAACTAACGTTTTAAGAAACACAGTAGCGAGGACAATTTTTACGACGCGCTTTGATGCCGCTACGAAATAAATCACACTCTTCATCCCTCTGGTTCTTGTACATAGAATGACATGCTCCGTGTCTGTAATCTGTCCTTAGCATTTTGTGGTGACGCTCAATTACATCGCTGTGACGAAAAGATAAGTTTTATGTCAATTTCTATGCCCTCTGAAAAGCAAGAGAGAAGGGGGAGTGAATATAATCTCTAGAGGCTTCATAAATTATACAGTAAACAAATTAAGAAGTTTCCAAAGATTTAGACTTGCAATTCAAAGTAAAGGAATAATAATATACATACACAGTCCAATAAGAATAATCGTAGTTTGAAAGACCAATATAGAGATAAAAGAAAATAATACAAGAACGTGAAGAAATATTGTCATGATTTAGGGGTGTGCGTGACATTGGGTTGGATGAATGGAATTATTGACACCATATACACTCACTTCATAACTACAAGTAATTAGAACCCTATTACTATTTCTACAATTTACAGTCTAGAGTACTCAGTCTTCACTATTCGTAACCTGGCAACGGATTCATAAGTGTCACTGTAAATGCAGCACAATATGAAGTTTTTTGCATTGTCTAGTTCATTTCTTGCCATTTCTTCTCAATTACTCTGCAACTGCACACCCCGGAGACACTCTCAGTTCTAATTATAGCTGCGTGAGCACCTCGTTATATAGCCTCGGGGCGAACCCACAGAAAACATCGCTTCTCTATTGTTGCGTGTTCATTCACTGCTGCAGAGATGTGTTTACCGCACTGGTGGGTAGCAGCGAGCGCTGCGTTGACAACATAAAACGCTGCTCTTCTGTTTTTGCCCGCGTTCGCTTCCGCGGGAATGTTTTTACTGAGCCGTTGTCTAGCAATAAACTATTCCGGTTTTGAGGCGTCATGTCACAATATTTAGACATCTATTTTCCTAAAAAAAACAATCAATATGGTAGGGCTAACAAGAACAATAAGTCGATATTTATACCATTTAATGTTCCCCCAATCCTCATTCAGACTACGTTACTTCTTTTTTTCGACACTACAGCCCCAGTGTTTGCTTCATAGACTGGCAGAAGGCATTTGACCGGGTAAACTGGACCAAATTAATGCAGATCCTAAAGGAAACAGGTATCGACTGGCATGAAAGAAGATTGATTAGCAAATTGTACATGGATCAGAAAGTTAGAGTACGACTGGACAGGGGGGAGACAGGAAGTGTGCAGATTGGAAGAGGAGTTCGACAAGGATGCTGTTTATCACCAATTCTGTTCAA